TCCAATTCCATCGCTGAGCGAGTTCAGATTTTGATCACAGATGGTCTGCTGGTACAGAAGTGTGACCTACATTGGGATGGTAGGCATTGACTAGAGTGAAGCATTAAATGACACATTCAAGCCAGATCTCTCACCGACTCCACACCTCATTTAATGGTGCTAAATTGTACCCTTCCCAGTACAGCACCTCTCCCTTTTTGTCCTGGACTGCAATTCCCATCAACCCCAGCCAAGAACCAAGTTGTCTGTGGATTATGGGGGTACTATTTCAGCATGCATCGGAAGCGCAAGGTTGGAGAGAGCTGCTTAAATGCAGGTCTGTGCAGTGTGACAGTGCGCACGTACGCAGGAGCAAAAAGAAGAGCTCTGGTTCAAAAACTGCTGCCTGTGCATCCTCCAGTTTTGGCGAGTGACCAACAAGATAATGATATTCTGGCTGAGTGACAGCCCTAGACACCACATGGGCCCTGAAGCTGTGAAAAGCTAATAAGCCCATGCACAGACAGTTCTTCTTTCCAGTGTCTGCTTGGGAAGGGACTTGATTCATTATTGTGGAAGCATAGAAGAAATCACACAGATGATACTGGCTTGATGGCGACCTTATCACATTGGGCTGTACTCCGTTTATATCAGTGGTTCTCAACCTTCCTAATGCCGTGACCCCTTAATACAGTTACTCACGTTATGGTGACCCCCAACCATAATATTGTTTTCATTGCTACTTGATATCTGTCATTTTTACTACTGTTGTAAGTTGTAAATATTCGATATTCAGTATGTATTTTCATCCACTGGACCAAATTGACCCAATAAGCCCAAATGTGAATGCTAGTGGGGTCGGGGGAGGATTGAGTAGCTGGGAGTTGTAGTAGCTGGGATTTATAGTTCACTTATAATCAAAGAGCATTCTGAACTCCACCAGCAATGAATTAGAACCAAACTTGGCACACAGACCTCCCACGACCAACAGAAAACACTGGGTTTGGTGGGCATTGACCTTGAGATTGGGAGTTGTAGTTCACCTATATCCAGAGGAGCACTGTGGATTCACGCAATGATGGATCTGGACCAAACTTGGCACAAATACTCAATATGCCCAAATGTGAACACTGGTGGAGTCTGGGGAAAAATAGACCTTGACATTTGGGAGTTGTAGTTACTGGGATTTATAGTTCACTTATAATCAAAGAGCATTCTGAACTCGACCAACAATAGAATTGGGTCAAACTTTCCACACACAATCCAAATGGCCAACAGAAAATACTGTGTTTTCTGATGGTCTTTGGCGACCGCTTTGACTCCCCCTCATGACCCCCTCAGGGGTCCCGACCCCCAGGTTGAGAAACACTGGTTTATATCAATACACAACCTGCTGGGTTTTTTTCCTGACTGATTGCATACTGGTTTCAGGCAGGATGCATACTGACCTCATCACACCCAAATACTACAATGTTTACCTTCAGAAAATGCTCCACGTTGACTCATCACATTGGCTCCTCCCAATCTGTTCAAAAGTCTCCCTACGTCACTCTCTAGCAGTGGTTTTCAATCTTCCTAATGCCACAACCCCTTAATACAGTTGTTGTGCTGACCTCTAACCATAACATTATTTTCGTTGCTACTTCATATCTCTAAATTTGCTATTGCTATGAATCATCATGTAAATATCTGAAATGCAGGATGTATTTTCATTCATTGGACCAATTTTGGCACAAGTAACCGATATGTCCAAATTTGAATACTGGTGGGGTTGGGGGGAATTGATTTTGTCATTTAGAATTTGTAGTTTAGAATTTGGGACCATTCTACCTGCATGACTGCATCTCCGTTTATGAACCCACACATTCTCTTCGTTCATCTGGAGAGGCCCTGCTCACGATTCCACCTGCGTCGCAGGCGCGTCTGGTGGGGACGCGAGACAGGGGCTTTCTGTGGTAGCCCCCCCCCCCCCCCCCGACTCTGGAACTCCCTCCCCAAAGATATCAGACAGGAAGAACTTGAAGACCTGGCTGTTCCGATGTGCCTTTCCAGAATAGGAAAACTCCAGTAACACGTCCCAGAAGCACTTTATTAGAGTTTAATAAAGCACACTGCACTTACCCTAAAATCCGCTATACCACCTGTCACATCAGCACTTTTAACCTGTACCCATTACATTGGCCCGGCCCTGTTTTCTTGTGCTTTGGTGTATTGTTTTTATTGTTTTGTTGTTTGATATTGCTTTAATTGTTTTGATTTGCTTTAAGTTGTGTATTTTGTTATGCTATGTTTAATTGAGGCCTTGGCCTGTGTAAGCCGCATCGAGTCCTTCGGGAGATGCTAGCGGGGTACAAATAAAGTTAATAATAATAATAATAATAATAATAATAATAATAGTTCACCTACAATCAAACAGCATTCTGAACTCCACCAATGATGGAATTGAACCAAACTTGGCACGCAGAACTCCCATGACCAACAGAAAATACTGGAAAGGTTTGGTGGGCATTGACCTTGAGTTTTGGAGTTGTAGTTCACCTACATCCAGAGAGCACTGTGGACTCAAACAATGATGGATTTGATCAAAATTTGGCATGAATACTCAATATGCCCAAAGGTGAAGACTGGTGGAGATGGGGGAAAATAGATTTGGGAGCTATAGTTGCTGGGATTTATAGTTCACCTACAATCAAAGAGCATTCAGACCCCACCAAGGATAGAATTGGCCACGGTAGTCCACGCTCTTGTTACATCCCATATAGACTACTGCAATGCTGTCTACGTGGGGTTGCCTTTGAAGGCTGTCCAGAAGCTTCAACTGGTCCAATGGTCGGCAGCTAGGTTACTAACAGGAGCGGCTCTCAGGGAGCATACAACCCCCCTGTTGTGCCAGCTCCACTGGCTGCCGGTTTGGTACCAGGCACAATTCAAAGTACTGGTTTGGCCCATAAAGCCCTAAACCAGTAGTTCTCAACCGTCCTAATGCCACAACTCCTTAATACAGTTCCTCATGTTGTGGAGACCCCCAACCATAAAATTATTTTCGTTGCTACTTCATAACTGTAGGTTTGCTACTTAGGAATCGTAATGTAAATATCTGATATGCAGGATGTATTTTCATTCACTGGAACAAATTGGGCAGAAATATCCAATATGCCCAAATTTGAATACAGGTGGGGCTAGGAGGGAGGGATTGATTTTGTCATGTTAGTATCTGATTTACAGGATGTATTTTCATTCACTGGACCAAATTTGGCACAAATACCCAATATACCCACATTTGAATATTGGTGGGATTGGGGGGGGGGGGGATTGATTTTGTCATTTGGGAATTGTCGTTGCTGGGATTTATAGTTCACCTACAATCAAAGAGCATTCTGAACTCCACCAATGAGGGAATTGAACCAAACTTGGCACACAGAACTCCCATGACCAAGAGAAAATACTGGAAGGTTATGGATAAATCTGGACCAAACTTGGCAACATGCCCAAATGTGAACACCGGTGGAGTTTGGGGAAAATAGACCTTGACATTTGGGAGTTGTAGTTGCTGGGATATATAGTTTACCTACAATCAAAGAGCATTCTGAACTCCACCAATGAGGGAATTGAACCAAACTTGGGACACAGAACTCCCGTGACCAATAGAAAATACTGGAAGGGTTTGGTTGGCAGTGACATTGAGTTTTGGAGTTGTAGTTCACCTACATCCAGAGAGCACTGTGGACCCAAAAAAATGATGCATCTGGACCAAACTTGGCACGAATACTCAAATATAATCAAATGTGAACACTGGTGGAGTTTGGGGAAAATAGTCATTGAGATTTGGGAGTTGTAGTTGCTGGGATTTACAGTTCACCTAAAATAAAAGAGCATTCTGAACCCCACCAATGATAGAATTGGTCCAAACTTCCCACACAGAAACCCCCATGACCAACAGGAAATACTGTATTTTCTGATGGTCTTTGGCAACCCCTCTGACACCCTCCTTGCGACCCCCCCCCCATGGGTCCCGACACCCAGGTTGTTATTAAATTCTCCCCGCTTCCTACTTCATAATGATAAGGAGTTTTCAAGGAGAAAAGACAGGAGTGTGAAAATATGCCGGAGATGAAGGAGGATAGAGAATTATACTGTTGGTATATCGGGGAAGCCTTATTCTTCATCAGAGCAATGGGATTTCCCGAGCTTGGCAGGATTACTGTTTTTCTACTACGATTTCCAGAAGTCTCCAGTCAGCCTGGCCAAAAAACGTAACACTGCTGTGCTTTGGTAAGAGATTGCCAAAAATTCTTGGAGTGATTTTCATTAAGAGGAATTGAGGTAGCATTTCCCCATTAGCTAGAGAAGGGGAGTCAGAACAGGTTGAGCGTCCCTTGTCTGGAATTCTGGAATCCGAAATATTTCAAAATACAGAATTTTCTCCTTTAGTGACTGGTATAATATTAATGACATCTTGTTTCCTGATCATTTAGAATACACAAACTTTGTTTCATGCACACATTTATTTTAAAACGTCGTTTTAATTCAACTTAATGTATAACAGCTACGGAATATGTGCAATGATTGTTGGAACAGCCCCAGATTACGATTGTGAATGGCGTGATTTTAATAGTGAATGCAGTGTTTTTATTTATTGTTGAATGCTTTCATTGCCAGAATCACTGGGTTGTTGTGTGTTTTCCAAGCTGTATGGCCATGTTCCAGAAGCATTCTTTCCTGACGTTTCACCTGCATCTATGGCAGGCATCCTCAGAGGTTGTGAAGTCTGTTGGAAACTAGGAAAATTGGGTTTATATATCTATGGAATGTCCAGGGTGGGAGAAAGAACTCTTGTCTGTTTGAGGTAGGAGTGAATGTAGCAATTGGCCACCTTGATTAGCATTACAATAATATTACAATATTATTATTAGTAATGTAATATTATTAGTAATATTACATGTAATTTAAATATATAATTATAATATCTCTATGTTATTCAAACCTTTGTAATTAATACAGCTTTCTGCTTCATTCTGTAGAGCTCCCAGAAAACTGGACTGACACCAGAGAAACCTTGCTGGAAGGGATGCTCTTCAATCTAAAGTACCTGGGCATGACGCTGGTTGAACAGCCCAAAGGAGAAGAGTTGTCTGCTGCAGCCGTCAAAAGAATTGTCACAACTGTGAGTAGAATCCTAGAACCATAGAGTTGGAAGTGACCTTGTGGGCCATCCAGTCCAACTCCATTCTGCCAAGAAGCAGGAAAATCACATTCAAGGCACCCCTAACAGATGGCCATCCAGCCTCTTTTTAAAAGCCTCGAAGAAGGGGCCTCCACCACACTCCAGGGCAGAGAGTTCCACTGCTGAACAGCTCTCACTGTTATGAATTTCTTCCTCATGTTCAGGTGGAATCTCCTTTCCTGTCGTTTGAAACCATTGCTCCATTGCGTCCTAGTCTCCAAGGCAGCAGAAAACAAGCCTGCTCCCTCCTCCCTATGACTTCCCCTCACATCTTGATACGTGGCCCTCATCATGTCTCCCTTCAGCCTTCTCTCCATGCTAAACATGACCAGCTCTTTAAGCCTTTCCTCATAGAGCTTGTTCTCAAAACCTTTGATCATTTCAGTTGCCCTCCTCTGGACATTCCACATTGTCAACCTCTCCCTTCAATTGTGGCACCCAGAATTGGACACAGTGTGATTCCAGGTGTGGTCTGATCAAGGTGGAATAGAGGGATAGCCTGTTTTTCCTGGATCTAAACATAAGACTCCTATTGATGCAGGCCAAAATCCCATTGGCTTTTTTCCCCCATCACATGACATTGTTGGCTCATGTTTAACTTGTTCCCCACAAGGACTCCAAGGTCTTTTTCACACATACTGATGTCAAGCCAGGCATTGTCCCCCATTCTGTCTATTTGCATTTCCTTTTTTCTGCCTAAGTGGAGTCTCTGTTGAACTTCATTGTGTTCGCTTTGGCCCATCATCTCTCTAATCTGTGAAGATCGTTTGGAACTCTGCTCCTGTCTTCTGGGGTATTGGCTCTCCGTCCCCATTTGATCCTATCTGCAAACTTGGACATGCCTTCTAACCCGTCATCTAAGCCATTAAGAAAGATCTTGAACAATAGACTTACATGTCAATATATTGAAAATGGATCTGATATTATTGAAAGCTGATCACTTTATACTTGAGATATTTTCCTTTCCAAAATCAGTTTAAGATGCTGGTAATCACAAGGTATTCCACGTAGTAACCTATGGATGTGAGAGATAATAATAATAATAATAATAATAATAATAATAATAATAATAATACTTTATTTGTACCCCGCTACCATCTCCCCAGGGGACTCGGTGCGGCTTACATGAGGCCGAGCCCGAACACAACAATACAAGCAATAATCACAACAATACAAGTAATTAAAATAAAAACATAAACAGTAAACATATAACATTATCAATAAGACAACATATAATAAAAACTGTGGGAAGGCCAAATGTAAAATTAAAATTGGAAATAGTGCTGAACATGGACGAAAAGATGATAGTAGCGTTTGTGGAAAGACATACGAGCAGACCTAAAAAATGTAAAGTGCTTAGAGGGACAAAGTGCTATGGGATTGTTAATCCGGGAAGGCATACTGGAACAACCATGTCTTCAAGCTCCTCCTGAAAACTGCCAGGGTAGGGGCCTGCCTGATGTCCTTAGGGAGTGAGTTCCAGAGTCGAGGGGCCACCACCAAAAAGGCCCTCTCTCTGGAGCTGGACCATAAGGAAGACTGAGTGAAGGAAGATAGATGCTTTTGAACTGTGGTGCAGGAGGAAAATTCTGAGAGTGCCTTGGCCCGCAACCAGTCCATACTTCAGGAAATAAAGCCCGACTGCTCACTGGAGGGAAGGATATTAGAGGCCAAGATGAAGTACTTTGGCCACATCATGAGATGTCAGGAAAGATTAGAGAAGACAATGATGCTTGGGAAAATGGAAGGAAAAAGAAAGAGGGGCCGACCAAGGGCAAGATGGATGGATGGCATCCTTGAAGTGACTGGCTTGACTCTGAAGGAACTGGGGGTGGTGACGGCCGACAGGGAGCTCTGGCATGGGCTGGTCCATGAGGTCACAAAGAGTCGGAAGCGACTGAACAAATAAACAACAACAAATTGCAAGGCTGCCTTCAAGGCCAATGGGCTTGTAACCCATATTTATTTGTATTTTTTCTGTTTAGTCTCACATTTATTGTCAACTGCTTTCAGTCCCTGTGCCATCACGCCTGGGGGCTATAACTCTTAATGAAAGAGGCATGGACGTGGCATCTTTCCCCAGGGGATTGCTTCTTGCCCTCCTATAGGAAACTGGAACTCCCAAAGACCAAAACACAACAGATAACTCAAAATGGTATTTATTGTTCACAATGAGTTATCTTTCTCAGGCATAAGCTTGATGTTTCAACAGGGATAAAAGAAATATACTTTACAATCTCTGAAGTCCAAGGAGTTTGCAGCTGAGAAGCTTTTCCTGTTTCCTCTTTCCTCAATGGCTGTGAATATCGGAATAAACAAAACCCCAGTCCAATGGCCTATGTTGAAGGGACAAGACCTTCCTCTGGTGCCAAAAGAACCGGTTTGAAGGTGCTTGGGTCTCCTCAATGTTGTCCAGGACGATCTGGACATAAAGCATGAGTCCCAAGGGTAAAAAACCTTAGAATTGGTGCTGAGAGGTAATTTAAGCAGGGGCTTTTAGAGCCAAGTCTCTTACTCATGTCCATCTGATAGAAACTCTGATGGCAGAATGAAAAAAGGGAAGCACTCCCCTCCTCCAGGAAGAGGTGGAGCCAAACAATTGAGCTTGAGAAAGCAATTCAACTGGTGCAAACAACATTGACAGCTATAAATAACCAATCAATCCAACTATACATTTACAGGGTAATAATAATAATAATAATGTTGTTGTTCATTCGTTCAGTCGTCTCCGACTCTTCGTGACCTCATGGACCAGCCCACGCCAGAGCTCCCTGTCGGCCGTCACCGCCCCCAGCTCCTTCAAGGTCAGTCCAGTCACTTCAAGGATGCCATCCATCCATCTTGCCCTTGGTCGGCCCCTCTTCCTTTTGCCTTCCACTTTCCCCAGCATAATTGTCTTCTCTAGGCTTTGCTGTCTCCTCATGATGTGGCCAAAGTACTTCAACTTTGTCTCTAGTATCCTTCCCTCCAATGAGCTATCGGGCTTTATTTCCTGGAGGATGGACTGGTTGGATCTTCTCGCAGTCCAAGGCACTCTCAGAACTTTCCTCCAACACCACAGCTCAAAAGCATCGATCTTCCTTCGCTCAGCCTTGCCTAAGGTCCAGCTCTCACATCCGTAGGTTACTACAGGGAATACCATGGCTTTGACTAGGCGGATCTTTGTTGCCAGTCTGATGTCTCTACTCTTTACGATTTTATCGAGACTGGACATTGCTCTCCTCCCAAGAAGTAATCTTGCAACTAACAGTTCTACACATAGGTGGTGCCACTCGCGCCGTCACAGTCCCAATACTGAAAGAAAAGCAAAATAAAATAAGGTAAATAAGAAAAAATTTAAAAATCTTTTCATCTGATTTTTAAGTTGAGGCTGAGTCCCCCTGCTTTATATAGCCAAAATGGCTCAACTCAAAGGTACCAAAGAATTCCAAAAGAATTCAATGAAACTCGATTACATTTAGTCATCATGGGATGCTGAGGGTGTTGGCGATGCGGGTGGAAAGTAAAAATCTGGAATTGGAATCGACCCAAGAAGCTAAACATTGGCACAGGAAGGCTCCGTACTGCAACATTTCATTGCAGTGCCCACTTGCCAACACTTAAATGCCACGGAGAGTTGCACTTTAAAATTATATTCCAAGAACACTAAGGGAAAACTCACTCAAATAGCATTAAAATCCCATAAAAATCCAGTTCATAAAATAGAATATAGTTCATAAAATACATAAAATGGTTGCAATTATCGAAAATTAGCCAACATAAAATGGTCGTGATTTATAATAGGTTCCCAAACACTCACTTGAATGGAGAAAGCTTTGCCTATCCTTTGTCAAATTATGTTTGAAAGGGGTGCTCTTTGGGGAGGGCTAGTCCCATAACACACAGTGACGCTGACTGGTGTCCCATTCAAATGAACAGGAAGACGGTCTCCTGTAAAAGACCTTCGTGGACATTTATTAAGAGATGTCATATATGGTCAACACAAACCCCACTTGGCTTTTGTGTGTCTTTCTATATGTGTGTTAGGGGACCGAAAGAAGGCTGTGTTTATTTCGATTTGCTCCAAAGAAATGGGAAATTATTATTTTTTCATTTGATGTTTGATGTTTTGTCTTATGTCTATTATAACAGGCTGTGCTTTTTATTTAATTTTAGTTTGTTAAATTATAATTCGTATTTATATGTTGGGTTGTATAAATTTTGTTAGCATGGATGTATTCGGGTATTGCATGTTTGCCTTTTATGTTTGGAATCCGCCCTGAGTCCCTTTGGGGAAATAGAACGGAATATAAATACTGTGTACTGTTGAAGGCTTTCATGGCCGGAATCACTGGGTTGTTGTAGGTTTTTCGGGGCTATATGGCCATGTTCTAGAGGCATTTTCTCCTGACGTTTCGCCTGCATCTATGGCAAGCATCCTCAGAGGTAGTGAGGTCTGTTGGAAGTAGGAAAATGGGTTTCTATATCTGTGGAATGACCAGGGTGGGACAAAGGACTTTTGTCTGCTGGAGCTAGGTGTGAATGTTTCAACTGACCACCTTGATTAGCATTTAATGGCTTGGACCCACCCTGGTCATTCCACAGATATATAAACATTTTCCTACTTCCAACAGACCTCACTACCTCTGAGGATGCCTGCCATAGATGCAGGCGAAATGGCAGGAGAGAATGCCTAGAACATGGCCATATAGCCGAAAAACTAGGATTATCATTTATATTTCTATTATTATTTGAAACACTGCAAGATGAGTCCACAGCAGACAGTATGCTGGCTGTTGTATTGGATCACAGGTTGGACACTTCCCAAGTGTCTAGGACTGTGTGATGTATCGCCGAATAATGCATGCAGATCCCAGTAAGGTGGCCTTCTGCAGATGGCAGGTGGTAATTTTGTCAGTGCTGATTGTTTTTAAGTGCAGGCCAAGGTCTTTAGGCACTGCACCCAGTGTGCCAATCACCACTGGGACCACCTTTACTGGCTTGTGCCAGAGTCTTTGCAGTTCGATGTTGTTGTTGTTATTATTATTATTACTATTATTATTATTATTATTATTATTATTATTTATTTTGTTCACATGTATATCTCACCGTTGGAGTTATCGTCCCAAAGTTGTCCAGTGAGGCCAGATTTCCACTGCCATATAATCCTGTTTCTGAATCCAGATGATCTGTTTTGAACTGGATTAAATGAATCTACACTGCCATATAATCCAGTTCAAAGATGATAATTTGCATTCAGAAATTGAATTATATGTCAGTGTAAACGGGGCTGAATTTTATCATGGCTCATGGATGACTAGAAACTGGATTTCCTAAGCCCCAGGCCCCTTCTACACTTCCATATAAAATCCAGATTATCTGCTTTGAACTGGATTATATGGCCATGTGGACTCATATAATCCAGTTCATAGCAGATAGTGTGAATTATCTGATTTGATAATGAGGATTATATGGCACTGTAGAAGGGACCTCAAATCAAAGCCCCAACTGCTATGCACAGTTGGCGCTCAGACTGGATCTACAGTGCTGTATAATCCAGATTATCAAAGCAGATAATCAAGATTATCTGATTTGAACTAGATTATGTGTGGCCTCTTCTCCACTGCTTTGAACTGGATTATAGCACAGTGTAGACTCATAAAATCCAGTTCAAAACAGGTAATCTGGATTAGCTGCTTTCATAATCTGGATTATATAGCAGCATAGATCCAGCCATAGTCTACACTGCCATATAATCCAGTTCAAAGTTTTGGTTTTATTTTGCTGTAACCTGTTGCCCGGGCTTGGCCCCATGTAAGCCGCTCCGAGTCCACATTGGGGAGATAGTGGCGGGGTATAAATAAAGATTATTATTATTAGGTTCTTGTGGGGTTTTTTCGGGCTATAGGGCCATGTTCTAGAGGCATTTCTCCTGACGTTTCGCCTGCATCTATGGCAAGCATCCTCAGAGGTAGTGAGGTCTGTTGGAAATAGGACAGTGGGTTTATATATCTGTGGAATGGCTGGGGTGGGGCAAGGAGCTCTTCCCTGCTGGAGCTAGGTGTGAATGTTTCAGCTGACCACCTTCATTAGCATTTGAAGGCCTGCCTGAGCCTGGGAAAATCCCCTGTTGAGAGGTGTTAAGATGTGCCTGGTTGTTTCCTCTCTGCTGTTTTGCTGTTGTAATTTTAGAGTTTTTTAATACTGGTAGTAATAGTAATAATTACTTATTGTTATTGTTACTATTCAAAGTAGATACTCTGGATTTTATATGGATTTTATATGGTTGATTCAGCCTTTGGATAATTGATATATTCTCAAGAAGGAAGTTTGGGAGTCTACCTTTATTTAACTGTTGGTTTTCAGAGTTATCAAACAAACTTCGGTGGTTTATCAAATCTGTCCACCTATGCATTATGGTTTTCCCAAATTCTTTAAATGATTACGAGACAAAACATACATCCTTACGAAACCCAAACCCTTTGGTTCTAACCTGATGGATACTATAGATCATTACCTGAAATATATGGCTGAATAAAATGGTGATTTTACCAAGCTACAAATCCTAGAATGCTATAGAATGGACCATGGCAATTAATGCATTTCCAGACTGACTCATCCCAAGCATTCTGTGAAATAACCCGGGTTTTTGTCTTTTCTCTTTCCAAAGGCAAAGGCAAGTGGGAGAAAGCTTCGGAAAGTAACCCTGAAAGTGTCTCCCAGAGGAATAATCCTCAGTGACAGTATAACCAGTGAACCTATCGAAAACATCTCTATATACAGGTATGTCTCAGTGGGTTGCCTTGGAGTGTGCAAAATGAGTTTTGAGAGCCTGACACTAAAAGTGCCTCAATATCATTCTTCTTTGTGTTCCTCGTGCTATATCTCCACTCCTTAAATCCCTTCACTTTGCCCTGTTATCTCTATGAGCATTTATTCAAGCACATCACTTCATGCGATTTTGACTCATCTTTGATGGCATGGCCATTGGTTTGAGAGGCCCTTCTTGTTTCTCTCTCATTCTATTCAATACACACACACGAATTCTGCAGCACTGGTGGTCACAGCTGACCTCCAGTTAGAGTGCTCAGGGGTCAGGGCTTCCATGGATGAGGGGCCACCACTGAGAAGGCCCGCTAGTTGCATTTGTGAGGGGGGTGGGACCAAGAGCAGGGCCTCCCCTGATGGTATTAGCCTCTGAATTGGATCATAGGGGGAGATTATGTTCGGACAGGTAAGCTGGGCCAGAAACATTTATGGTAGTGTTTCTTAACCTTCCTAATGCTGCGACCTCTGAATACAGTTCCTCATGTTGTGGTGACCCCCAACCATAACATTATTTTCGCTGCTACTTCATAGCTGTAATTTTGCTATTGTTATGAATCATCAAATCAAATCATTTATTTCGGTCATTGACCAGCACAGGAAATAGAGTCACATTTTCATACAAACTTGGTATGTTTGGTACATTAAAAATATAAAGCACAATATGGATGAGGGAGCGGAAGGGAAGGGGAAACAGGTTAAAAACATACAATGCCCAGATCCATCACCAAATTTTAGATTCAGAGAGGAAGATTACTGGACATGTAATCTTGTTATGAATCATAATGTAAATATCTGATATGCAGGATGTATTTTCATTTACTGGACCATATTTGGCACAAATACCCCATGTGCCCAAATTTGAATACTGGTGGGGTTGGGGAGGAGTTGATTTTGTCATTTGGGAGTCATAGTTGCTGGGATTTATAGTTCACCTACAATCAAAGAGCATTCCAAACTCCACCAACGATGGAATTGTACCAAACTTGGCTCACAGAAGTCCCATGACCAACAGAAAATACTGGAAGGGATTGGTGGGTTTTGGAATTTTGGAGTTGTAGTTCACCGACATCCATAGAGCACTGTGGACTCAAACAATGATGGATCTGGACCAAATTTGGTACAAATACTTAATATGCCCAAATGTGAAGACTGCTGGAGTTTGGGGGAAATAGACCTTGAGATTTGGGATTTGAAGTTGCTGAGATATATAGTTCACCTACAATCAAAGAGCATTCTGAACCCTACCAACGATAGAATTGGGTCAAATTTCCCACACAGAACCCCAATGACCAACAGAAAATATTGTGTTTTCTGATGGTCTTTGGCGACCCTTCTGAAATCCCTTCGCGACCCCCCCAGGGGTCCTGACACCCAGCTTGAGAAATACTGATTTATGGCTTTATAGGCTAAAGCCAGTACTTTGAATTGTGTTTGGTAGCAGAGCGTCAGCCAGTGGAGCTGACACAACAAGGGGGTGCTCCCTGTACACTGCACCACTGAGGAATCTGGCTGCTGTCCATTGGACTACTCGAAGCTTCCAAACAGTCTTCAAAGGCAACCCCACGAAGAGGGTGTTGCAGTAGTCTATTCGGGGTGTAATTTATGATTTGTCTTGTGGTGAAAGTGGGGTGTAAAGTTAACAGCAACAACACCACCCTGAAAGCATGTAACAATTGGCAGATGCCAGCAGTGGCCTCATGCCTCCATTACTCCCTTTCCAGGAATATTCACATCATGGAGATTTTTTAGCAGCAAGTTGAAGACATTTTTATTTCCATTCCTATTTGCTTAATGTGCATCATGGGAAATAGTTGCTGTGCTTGGGGGAAAAAAGTTTTTAGAAATTGTAATGCGTTCCACTGATTGGCATTTTAATTTTGTTTTTATACGATTTCCAAAAAAAAATTAAAAAGCTCCATAAGTCACCAACTGTGCTTGAATATGTAATACCATTTTCTAAAAGATTTCTTTGATTTTCAGTGTGTTTTATAGTTTCGGTTATGAAAGCGCTAGTCTTAATCCCTCAAAAGAAAGCTCTATTGCTTTGGGGAAGAGATGGAAGACTGGGTTTTGCTGGAGCTACTCTGGATTTCACAGGCGCTATCCAAGGTACTGAAACCTACTTCAGGGATAAGGCTCCGCACATTGGAGAGCCCCAGCATGGATTTACCTCCTTGAAACAACAGTCGCTGGCCACATCTGTCTTAAAGGCTTTCAAGTTCCTCGCGATGGAGGAATTTGAATCAGAAGGAACTGCATTTGGTTTAGAGATCTGCTCAGAACAGCAAAGTGGCGTTTTGTTGTTGTTGTTGTTGTTTGTCGTGTCAGGAGCGACTTGAGAAACTGCAAGTCGTTTCTGGTGTGAGAGAATTGGCTGTCTGCAAGGACGTTGCTCAGGGGATGACAGGATGTTTTTTTTATCTTTTACCATCCTTGTCACTGCCTTGGTCCTTTCACTATTGGCTGCTACTTCTCGGCGGATGTCAGGTGGTGCAATACCGGCTAGACACTGTAATTTCTCCAGTGGTGTAGGGCGCAGACACCCCATGATAATGCGACATGCCTCATTAAGAGCCACATCCACTGTTTTAGCGTGGTGAGATGTGTTCCACACTGGGCATGGACAGATGTCTTCACTGTGTCTGGTTGTGATCCTCAGGTTGTGCCAGTCTGCTTTCATATGATATGATATTATATTATATTCATATGATATTATTTCTAGCAGTCACTTTTTGCTTGATATTCAAGCAGCTCTTCTTGTATGTCAGAGCATGGTCCAGAGTAACTCCCAGGTATTTTGGTGTGCTCCAATGCTTTAGTGGGATTATTTCCCAGATAGTCCTCAGAGCTCAAGATGCTTGTCTGATCTTAAGGTGAAAAGCACATGTCTGCATTTTAGATGGATTAGGAATTAGCTGGTTTTCCCTGCAATAGGCAGTAATAGCACCTAAAGCTTCAGAGAGCTTCTGTTCAACCATTTTTAAAGCCCCTTGCTTGAGCGGTGATGGCACGATCATCAGCATAGATGAAACTCTCTGTCCCTTCTGGCAGTGGCTGATCATTGCTGTAAATATTAAACATTGAGAGAGCAAGCACACTATCCTAAGGCAGGCTGTTCTTCTGTTTTCGCCATCTGCTTCTCTGGCCCTGGAACTAAACAAAAAAGCTCCTATTTTTAAGTAGGTAAGGTGGTAATCCTTTGTGATATTATACATTTTTTTCAGTAGGAGACGATGATTTATAGTCTCATAAGCTGCTGACTAGATGTGAAGCACAGTGACTGGCCAATCTTAATCCAAAATCACTTTGGAAATGGCAGCTCTTCTGGGTGTTGCCATCCAAAAAGTAAATTTGAGGGGATTTTGGGAGCTGTAATTCAACAAGGCAATATTTGTAAACTACACAAGAGCATATATTTTTTAATTTTGCTTCAATATAAGGTAAAACTTCTGAACGCAAGACCTTTTTTTAAAAAAGGTCAGGACCCTGACCCAATAGTCTCTCTGGTTTAATTCTAATAGTGGGCATAGCTTAACAGACCTGTCTTTGGCAAGTTGCTGTCTTGTTTACTTAGAATCATAGAATCACAGAATCAAAGAGTTGGAAGAGACCTCATGGGCCATCCAGTCCAACCCCCTGCCAAGAAGCAGGAATGTTGCATTCAAATCACCCCTGACAGATGGCCATCCAGCCTCTGTTTAAAAGCTTCCAAAGAAGGAGCCTCCACCACACTCCAGGGCAGAGAGTTCCACTGCTGAACGGCTCTCACAGTCAGGAAGTTCTTCCTCATGTTCAGATGGAATCTCCTCTCTTGTAGTTTGAAGCCATTGTTCCACATCCTAGTCTCCAAGGAAGCAGAAAACAAGCTTGCTCCCTCCTCCCTGTGGCTTCCTCTCACATATTTATACATGGCTATCATATCTCCTCTCAGCCTTCTCTTCTTCAGGCTAAACATGCCCAGCTCCTTAAGCCGCTCCTCATAGGGCTTGTTCTCCAGACCCTTGATCATTTTAGTCGCCCTCCTGGATTCTTTACTTGGCAATATCTTTCCTCAATTGTGGTGCCCAGAATTGGACACAATATTCCAGATGTGGTCTAACCAAAGCAGAATAGAGTGGGAGCATTACTTCCCTAGATCTAGACACTATGCTCCTATTGATGCAGGCCAAAATCCCATTGGCTTTTTTTGCCGCCACATCACATTGTTGGCTCATGTTTAACTTGTTGTCCACAAGGACTCCAAGATCTTTTTCACACATACTGCTCTCGAGCCAGGTCTCGTCTCCCATTCTGTATCTTTGCATTTCGTTTTTTCTGCCAAAGTGGAGTATCTTGCATTTGTCACTGTTGAACTTCATTTTGTTAGTTTTGGCCCATCTCTCTAATTTGTCAAGATCGTTTTGAATCCTGCTCCTGTCCTCTGGAGTATTGGCTATCTCTCCCAATTTGGTGTCGTCTGCAAACTTGATGATCCTGCCTTCTAACCCTTCATCTAAGTCATTAATAAAGATGTTGAACAGGACCGGGCCCAGGACGGAACCCTGCGGCACTCCGCTCTTCATTTCTTTCCAAGATGAAGAGGAAGCATTGGTGAGCACCCTCTGGGTTTGTCCATTTAACCAATTACTTAGTTTTTTGATAGCTAGAAAAGGGTACTCCAGATATCTACCTAGTGTTAAGGTTAAAGGAAACCATATTTTTGTTTAAATATATGGTGGAAATGTATTACATTGGACCCTAATGCCTTTAATTGAGGTCATCGAATAGCTTTAGCCATGAGTGGAAAAAAGTTCCTTGATACGTCTCTATATCATTCTTCACATGGAGTCTTGCATAAACTGTGTTGGAAAACTCATTAATTTTGAAGGCTGTGCTGAGTGGCATTTACTCTTAAATATTAATAAAGTTTGCACATGTCACTTAGCAGAGGAAGGTCCCCTTGAAACCATTTTTCT